AAGAGGACCCATCAAGAGGTATTACCCATCTCTTCACCCTATGTGGACCACCCCCATCTTCTGCCATGTTCTCTAGCTCACCAACTCCTCTGCAGCTTAGCCCCTCTCCCAGCTGCTTACTGCCATCCCCTCGGGTCCCAACAGAAACATCTTCTTAAAGGAAGATTTACTCAACCTTGAGACTGGGTTAGTCCCTGAATCAGAGGATTACATGGAACCAATACTTTTGTTGTTATTGTTTGACAGGTATCATATTACTATTATTTTATTTTTCATGTGATTTCACTTAATATCAAGTTTCATAAGGGTGATGACCTGGTAGTCCTTGATCATGGTAAAACAGTTCCCAGAACCTAGTTGGGCTGGGCTGGGCTGGGCTGAGCACAGATACCACTGTAACAGGGGCAGGTTATGGCACTATGAGTTAAACTGCTGCTTGGGAAGTCTGTGTCCCACATCAGAGTGCCTGGTTTGAGTTCTGGCTCTCCTGCTTCTGGTCCACCTTTCTGCCACATTGCCTTAGTATAATGACCCACATACTTGGGTTCTTGCCACTCATGTGGAAGATACAGGTGGACACCCTAATTTCTGGTTTCAGCATATCCTAGCTCTGGCTCTAAGGACTATTTGGGGATTGAACCAATGGGTAGAAGATTTATTCTCTCTCATCACTCAGCCTTTAAAATGCATAAATAAATCTTTAAAAAAGAAACTGCTAGAAGTAATACCACCTACCACATTGCAAAGATAGTATAAAAAATGACAGTAACTCTTCAGTGTTATTTTATATCTTCATGGCATATTTTAAAATATTGTATAAATACTTTAAAATATGTTATTAAAATTGATTTTATGTGATCAATTTTCTTTCATGATGTCGTTTTGGAGATTTTTAACTTGCATAACATGATATTTCTTTAGATTGGAGCTTCCCTACTATGTTGGTTTAGAGAAAGATGAGTTTAAAAAGATGCTATCCAAGCCAGAGCCAACCAAGTTTTAAACAGATATCACAGTGGCCCATATTCAGAAGGAAGGGACATGAAAAAACTATTATATTAAAACCTGAAGTGGCAGCCACTGGAGTAATATTGAACATTGTGAACAAGAAGCGCCATTTATCACCTCCACTGATAGCTCTAATGTTCCTCATGTGGCATTTCCAACCAGGAGGGAGTTGTAGATTGTGCCGACTGCCTCTTTCAGGCTGCGTTGCTGGGCATAACAGCTGAATGAGCAACGACATGATGATAGAGACTATAAATTACTCTGCCTTCCTGAAGTGCTGGTCCCTCCATAGATCTTACAAATTCTCACACATGCTAATTAAATTTTTCACAATAGCCTACAAGGTTGAAAACTCACCTTCATTGGTGAAAAAGAGTATGGAGATTTGCCTAAGGCCACAGAACTAAGCAGTCCAGATGAAGAGAGGAAGACGCTACGCTAGACCGCTTTGCTTCTCTCTGATGATGGCAGCCAGTTAACAAAAACTTACTCTTTCTTCAAGAGTGCCAGCCCTTACCATCCTTAAATAGCCTTTTGCCTTGAATGTTATACTTTGCTGAGTGAACAAAGAACTGATTTTACCAAGTACTTCAATGAAGAGCAGATGGCTAAGAAGCAAAGTTCAAGTTGACAGATTTTTAGCATTTTTTGCCAGAAGTAGGATTTCAACCCTTGCTGCTCAAATGTGATACACTCAGCAGCAGCTTCGGCAATGACACCTGGGATTGTATTAGAATTGCAGAACCTAAGTAAGGGTGTGCTCTGGGCCAGCTGAATGAATATGGGCCTTTCCATGACTCTTCAGGATTTGAATGTACATTCAAGACTGAGAAACATTGACTGGGAGACTTAGGTGATAATGTCAACTTTTTTTTATTAGGAGTCATTTAAGAAATTCACTTCTCGGGCCTGGCGCAGTGGCACAGTGGTTAAAGGTCCTCACCTTGCACGCCCGGGATCCCATATGGGCGCCGGTTCTAATCCCGGCAGCCCCGCTTCCCTTCCAGCTCCCTGCCTGTGGCCTGGGAAAGCAGTCGAGGACGGCCCAAAGCTTTGGGAACCTGCACCTGCATGGGAGACCCGGAAGAGGCTCCTGGCTTGGGATCGGCATAGTATTGGCCCGTTGCACTCACTTGGGGAGTGAATCATCGGACGGAAGATCTTCCTCTCTGTCTCTCCTCTCTGTATATCCGCCTTTCCAATAAAAAATTAATAAAAATAAATCTTTTAAAAAAAAAAGAAATTCACTTCTCTCCTCTGAACATCTGTGAGCTTCTAAACATCTCTCTTCCCCTCTCTCACACACATACAAAAGAGCAGGGTAGGGAGGGAGGGAAATATAGGGAGAGAGAGAGATGCTTCTTTGTAAGGCTCTCATTTTCCCATTCCCAGTGACATTAGATTGCACATGGGCATAGGTTGCCATGGTGCCTATTTATCTTCAACTTCATGTAACCTTGGCACACCATTACTCAATAGCTATTTGATTTGCAGGGCTGTACAGACTCTAAGGCCTACAGAGAATAGGCAAGCAACAAGAATGAAAACAGTCATGCTTGTTTCAGTAAGGCATTTCCATGTATTTTCTTGCAGTACAGATATATTTAGTTAGCTTATTACAAGGCATGAGGAAAGTCATTACAGGGGCTGGCTGGTGCTGCGGCATTAGGTTAAGCTCCTGTCCACAGTACCAACATCCCATTGTAGGACTGGCTTTAGTCCTGGCTGCCCCACTTCTGATCCAGCTCCCTGCTAATATTCCCGGGAAAGCAAAAGATGGCCCAACTCCTTGGACTTCCTACACCCACCTGGGAGACCTAGGAGAAGATCCAGGCTCCTGGATTCAAACCAACCCAGCTCTGGTCATTGCAGTCATTTTGAAAAACTTTCTTTTTTGTCTCTCTCTCTCTTTCTGTAAATCTGCCTTTCAAATGAAAAATGAGTAAGTCTTAAAAAAATAGTCATAACTGTGGCAAGGCATTTGTACAACAGCTATGTCACTGCTTGAGATCCCCATATCTCATATCAGAGTGCCTGGGTTAACTGTTTCCAATTCCAGCTTCCTGTTAATGCATAATCCAAGACAAGGGATGAGGGGCAAGAAGAGAAGAACAGATGATGGCTTATGTATGTAGAACCTGCCATCCATGCATGACACCCAGATTGAATTAAAGGCTCCTGGCTTTAGCCTGCACCAGCCCTATTAGCTGTTTTAGGCGTTAGAGAAGCGAACCAGCAGATGGCTGATCCCTTGATCAATCAATCAATCAATCTCTCTCTCTCCACCCTCCCCTGCCTTGCACAATAAATATTTTTAGAAGTCCTTGCTTTGACAAAGTAATATGTTTAGTTCTATTTTTCGTAATACCATCTATCTTTTATCTTCTCATTTTTGGTAGAAAAAGAAGATCCAAGTTTCATTTAACAGCACAGGCCCTACAGGGCTCTGTACTACCAGCGGTGTGGCCTGCACAGATGGAGAACACAGGCTGACGTGGCTGGCGATCCCTGCACCCACCATTGTCTTCCTGTGGGAATTTGTGTCCATTTGACCAGATCCTCCCACTTCTTACAGAGAAACCAGAAATCTGGATTTTTATGTGAAATCTCCCATATTTTTTTTAAACATTGACAACTAATTGAATTTCTGCAAACACTGTGCAGGCCAAACAAAACACATGTGCAAGCCAAAGTATACACCCTCTGGACTGTGGTTTCAATGTCTCTTAGAGCAAAGTTGCAAAAGATGACATCTTACTGCTTTAGCTCAGGATAGATGTCTACTCACAATCACATGAAATAGGTTCCCACTGCATCATCACTCAGAAGGAGCACAGCCTAGACCTGCCCTTGGAACTGCCAGGAAGGGAACTTCTCCCAGTGAGGCCACAGCAATATACGTTTGCACCGACAAGTATAAAAATAGGAGATCCTGGAGGATAATGAACCGCACACGTTTTTTAAAGCTAGGCCTATTTAGGTATAAATCCACCCTTTTAACACAGAGTTCCATAAGGTTTGACATATGTATGCAATCATGTAACCACCACCACTGCCATAATCCATCAGCCACAAAATTTCCCTATGTGCCCCTTTGCAGACATCCCCCACCCTTAGCCTCTGGCCACCACTGGTATGCTCTCGTTCCCTATAGGCTTGCTTTTCCAGAATGCAATCATGTAGTTTATAGCCTTTTGAGTCTGGCTTCTTCCACCCACAATAACACATTGAAGTTTCAACCATGTTATTGCATATATCAGCAGCGCCTTTCCTTCTGGTGCTGAGTGACTTTCCATTGTATAGATGTGCCACAGTTTGCTTGCACTTTCATCAATGAGAGCATGTTTGGTGATTGTGCCTTGTAGCTACTATAAACCTCTACTGAGAGGCCTTGTGTGAACATGGTTTTCCCAACTCCTAGGTCTCTACCTAGGAATGGTGTCCTGGGTTCTGTGGTACCAAAGCCTATACTCTCTTGTTGAGAAATCACAATATTGTTTTTCCAAAGTGGCTGGCTCATTTTCACATTTCTAACAATAAAATTTGAGAACTTTCATTGTTCTGTATTCTCTCACATGCTTGCTACTGTCAGCATTAGTTTTGCTTTGCTTCATTGTTTCTGATTCCTTATGACAGGGATGTAGTACCTACCTATTTTTGATGAATAGTGCTAGCCTAAATCTAGGGTCTCACCATAAACAATTAAAAGCAATTTCTGACACAACGCCTTATACTCAAACCTATCCAGCTTCACTATACTCACAGTATGATATGATAAAATGATTTTAATCCCATCAAATTCAAATCCTTCTAACATTGACTTAAGGTCATTCTGCTGTTGGATGAAGACAATGTTGCTGAAGAGATAATGATAAATGCCAAAAGAGAAAAGCTACTTTGAATCACTCTTTCACCCATCACTCTTTCACCTGTAACAAACAATACACTGAAACCAAATGGAACCATGCTATGAGTGGTAAAGTTTGGCTTACCTCTTAGTGGTGCTTGGTCAGACCAGAGCTGGAGCCCAGCTGCAGAGGAGGCCTCACCTCTCAACCTGGATTGCACTTGACAGGTTCTGTAAAAGATGCAAAGGAGGCATGCAGTATACATTTCCCGGCAATAAACGGAAACGCTTCTGTCCAGCATCTAGATACGTACATCTTCCTTTCACAAACATCATTGGAAATGCCTTTCCTCTCTGCCTCCACGTTACACAAATCCAGCTTTTTTCATTGTACAAAATCACAGAGACACAATGCTGCTTCATTCAAATGAGATGGACTAACTACTGGCAACGATCGATTTTCAGGTAGTTTGGTTCATTCTTCCCTACCAAATGATTCCACTATTCTGTAATTGTATTTTCTCATAATAAAGGTGTCTGGCAAAACTGAGGCACTCTGTTCTGAAATTATATAAAAGTAAAAATTGCCCACAACTTAAGAGTTGCTATAGATGGGATCACTGGCCACAATTCATCATCCTTTCCTATATTGACATGTCTATCACCATATGACTTTGCAGCCTTTCTCACTAACAGGAAGAATAAATGTTTCTTCCCACCGACTTTGGATTTAGCTATATAACTTGCTCTAATAGAATGAATCAGAAACTATAGAATGCTAGATGACAACTCCAGTGGCCAATGTATTTCTGCTTCTAGACATATGCCTCCTACCATCATCATGATAAAGACATACACTAACTGACCTACTGGTCCCAGGACAATAATGAGCAAGATGACACTGGGCAGAGCTACCCAGTGAAAACCAGCCTACATCAACTACACCCCAGCCGATTATACGATCATTAGCAATGGTAACTGTTGTTTCCAGCCAGACGTTTTTTGGATTAGTTTGCTAAGTAGCAAAAGCTGACAATGTAAGCACATTCTTGCATTATTCATTTTACCTAAAGAAAAATTGTATCAGTTGTCCAGGGTCCCAGAATTTTGTATGCTTTCCTTATGTGGTTCATTCATAAGGCAAAAAGTGTTTTAGAAACTATAGAAACGGACCCGGTGCAATGGTTCAACAGCTAAATCCTCACCTTGCAAGGCCCAGGATCCCATATGAACATCAGTTTGTGCCCTGGCTGCTCTACTTCCCATCCAGCTCCCTGCTTGTGGCCTGGGAAAACAGTAAAGGATGGCCCAAAGCCTTTGGACCAGGCCATGCACCCATGTGAGAGACCTGGAAGAAGCTCCTGGCTTTCAATCGGCTCAGCTCTGGGCTTTGCAGTTGCTTAGGGAGTGAACCAGAGAATGGAAGATCTTTCTCTGTATTTCTCCTTCTCTCTGAATCTGACTTTCCAATAAAAATAAATCCATCTTTTTTTTTTTTAAAAAAAAAAAGAAGCTATAAAAGGAGAAACATTGGAGAGATCCAAATATCAGTTGGGAGGCAATTTCTCTTACACACACTGCCTTATCCTGCCTTATTGATCCTCTTCACTGCTGACACAGCCAGTCAGGGCAGAGCCAGTCAGAGAAGTGTCACAGATAGTTCCACCTCTACCTCTTCCTCTTGCAACTTTCCTCTGTCTTTCCCTGGCATGGTCTCACAACCAGTAAATAATTTTGCTACCCAAGGGTTATCTGACAATATCCAGAAACATTTTGGTTGTCACACTGGTTGGGCAGCAAACAGGCTCTCACTGTCAGCTGTTGGGTAGCAATAGGGTATACTGCTATGCTCTACAGAGCACAGGAAATCCCTCAATGAAAAATCTAGCCCAAATATCCCCAGTGCTAAGGCTGAGAAATGTATTAAGTTGAAAAGTATTTGTGGATTCTTCCCCCTGAGAGTAAGTTTAAGTCTGACAAATATGTTGAAAGCTTATTAAATTCATAAAACCTACTCCTTTCTGAAAAGCGGAGGCCAATCTTTTGGTATACAGTGCATAATAAATACAAATTCACACTTTTTACCAAGTATAAATGACTTTTCCACAAATATACAGAGCGAGGATTACAAAGATGTTTTTTAAAGTTCATGGAAATTGGATCACAATGATTTTATTTTGGTATGAAAAATATTTTTAAATCCATGCATAGGTTTTTCCCAATATACATTCTCCATGAATATTTGAATCACTCTGATAAGTTGACTGAAGAAGTGTTTGAATATTTCTGTACATCTAGAAATATCCCTCATACCTTAAATCTTAATCTCATTTTATTCTGAACATTTTTAATGAATAAATAGTCAAAAGTTTTCATTCATGATCAGTCTTCCCCGCCTCATGCCAAGGTCTCCAGAGGTTTATGACGCAGCAGTCACAGGGTCTGGGGCACACAGCCACGGAGGGAACTTGTTGCATTACAACAATATACTTTGGTGTTTTAGTAACTGAACCCTCTTAATAATATCCTGGGGAGACCAGCTTAATATTGAATTCTCACCTCAATGTTTTGTATCTTTGCCAAGAAAAATAACCTATAGCTCAAAATAGTTGAGAATTAATGTGGACCTCATGCTCATTTAGTTGAATTCTAAGTGTGGAATGGTACACTCAAAGGTGTTTCTGATGAAAGACCATATTTAGTTAGAATGTCTAAAATGACGGAACTGGCAAAGCTCAAAGCAACTCCAAAGATCCATTGCAGGAAGGTTTTCAATGCATTAATGTGTGATGGATTCCATGGGAACACTTCTGAAGATGCTAGGAATTTTAAGATAGATTGAGAATTCAAAAAGGTCTTGGGTATTGTACTCACCACTGGGAGGTCAGAATTTCAAATCACAAGGACTGAAGTTACAGAGGCAGAGCAATACAGCCAGAAGCAGGCTAATGGGCCCAGACATCAAGATTTAAGGGATATAGGGTTGGAAAACTGGATCTTGGTACAGTCATTTTCCAGCCATGTTCTGTGGGGAAGACAAAGAAAGAAAATCAAGGCCATTAGAGCAGCCTAACAGAGTTGAGGTTGAGGCTTGCAGTGATATTTTTCAAGAGCCTGATTAGTGTTAAGTTGTACCAAGTTTAAGTAAACAACATATTGCTGAGTTAGCTTTCTTACACAACAAGTCAGTTCACTACATAAAGAGGCGGAACTTCAGACTGACACAGTACATGTTCTGGCAGACTTCTGTGTAAGCGCCACAGAGCCATGAGATTCCATAGCGCCTCACAGCAGAAAGCAAAGAGGCCAAACGTGTTCCAGGCATCAGAATTCCTACTCTACTTCAACCAAGGAAAACTCCACTGAATCTGCTTTGAACGCAGGATGTCTGCCTAACTTTTCATGTGCAACAAGATAGACTCTGAGGCTTAACAGCATTCAGAAAACAATATGTGAAGAGGAAGTTCTCCCTGGTTAGCAAGGAATGCTGCTAGAATGATAAATATGATCAGATCCTGATATCAAAAGCAAGGGTCTTTGAGAGATTAGTAAACTGACAATATGCTATCCCTGTATATCAGAAATTTCTTCCCTTATTTCATTCATCCGTGAAATACCATTTATTGTCCTTTAGATGACATATTTGAGAAAAGAGTGGTATTTTTCATATATTTATTGCTTATAATGAGAGCCATAAACTATGACTTCCCCGGGTATATCAAAATATTTGATAGCTCTAATTGAAGCAGCTACTTAATTATGTTAACGTGGTCTTGATGGCAAAGATAGACTCTCACTTCAGCTTGAGTGTGAATTTCAGTTGCATTGACAGGAGGGGCTAGCACAATGGCTCAGTGGCTAAATCCTTACCTTGAATGTGCTGGCCCCCCACATGGCTATCATTTTGTGTCCTGGCTGCTCCCGTTCCCATCCAGCTCTCTGGTTGTAGCCTGGGAGAGCAGTCAAGGATGGCCCAGAGCCTGGGGACCCTGTGCCCACATGAGAGACCTGGAAGAAGCTCCTGGCCTCTGGCTTTGGTTTGGCTCAGCTCCAGCCGTTGTGACCACTTGTGGAGTAAGCCAGTGGACAGAATCTCTTTCTCTGTCTCTCCTTCTCTCTGTGGCACTGCCTTTGCATTAAAGGTAAACAGATCTTTAAAAAAGCAAAAAGGCATGGGAAAATTAATTAATACATCTGGACTGACTACACAACTAAGACCCCTGGTGTCCACTAAGTGGAATAGGGGAAGCAAAAACTTTGAATTCACTATAATTTCAACATCACGAGCTTGTGTCATAGGCCTTCCCTCTATCGGAGTTGACAATATAGAAAAGGGGTAATTTGAAGCACTTGTGCTGAAATCACTTAAAACACAGAGAAACTTAATGTGTGTCAAGGCTTGTGTAGTAGGACCAGCAATACATTTTCTCCTTGATCTACAGCTCCAAATACTCTGCTCTCTCCGGGGTGTCTGTCTATTTCTATACCTCTTCGTTACCATTGCGGGCTACCACCAAGCGGCCCCACCCCACCCAAAGCAGTCCATATTCTGTTTGGGTGATAGTTAGCACATCTAACCACTTCACTGAAAAACCAACAAGAAGAAACCACCAGTGAGAGCGAAAGTCAGCTTATTACAAGTTCTGGCTGCCTCGCAGCTTGTGTTTGTTCACTGACTTTGCCAGAAAGTTTCCTTCTGACAGGAGGAAATTTACAACTTTCCTTGAGCTGCCAAATCATCACCCAGCAGACTCCTCCTATTACTTTTCCTCTGCTACCCATCAATGGCTTTCTTCTGGTATGTTGAACAAAAATATTCAAACCACACATAAGTGTGACCCATACCAGCCACATAGAACTTACCTGTCAGTCACGGCCCACACTTGGCAATTGAGAGCAACAACACAAGTGGCCAATAATTATTATGGCAGAAAAGTTGGAAGAAGAAATTTACGATTTTCAATCTAAATGATTGGCATTGTGTATTACTAAAAAACTGAGCTCCAAGTCAGAAACAGAAAATTGTAAGAAAAAAAAGTAGATTAGAGGCTCTGAGATACAAATCAAAAAACATTTTCTTAGGGTGGGAATTTGGCCTAGCAATTAAGAGCCTGCCAATCAGAGTGTCTTGATGCAGGTCTCAACTTTGCTCCTGATTCCAGTGTAAGAAACAGGGGGAATGATAGCTCAAGCACTTGGGTCCCCATCACCTATGTGGGAGATCTGGATTGAGTTTCCAGTTTCTGGCCCAACCTGAAACATCATATGCAGGTGACATATACGGAGGTTTCTCTCACTGTCTCTGTCACTCTAAAATAAATAGTCAAAAAAAAAAAAGCTGCTGCTCATATTAAGTGTCAGCCCAAACAGGCAGCTTGAAGGTATGGTTTAGTAAGAGAATGGCATGGCTTCAATGCCAATACAATCTATTCAAACCTCAAAGTCACAGAAGGAAAGGATTCCGATGAGATCCATACCAGTCTGTGATGAGGGTGACAGAAGGTGTGATGGAGTGTGCGGTCTGAAAGCAGCAGCTGTGGAATACCTTTTCTCATCTTATCTAGTGCACATTTAAATTATACTTCTTGAAACTATTTTCACCTCCTTGCTTTGTCCCTTGGTTTCAACTGTTTCTGAAACTCTTCCTTTTTCTCACCCAACTTCTTCCCCATCACCTCGCAACTGGTAACACTATTTGTGCAGGGACTCAACACAAGCGCGTGTGCGCACGCGTGCGCGCACACACCCACACACACACACACACACACATTTTCATCTTTAAAATCAGGGATTACAGGTGAGGCTCCTCAGGAATGATGGGACCTAGGATTTACGCAGAGATTTATAAGCTCCTTCCATATGCATTATCTCATTTATCTTCCCAATGATTCTGGACAGTGGTCACTGGTGGCAGCACTGGTGCCACTTCATTGCCAGATGAGGCCTTTCCTACCCACTGTACTTCATAGCCTGCCAGAACACCTAGGGCATTGTCCTTTATAAGGCTGAAGCTACCAACTACAGCATCCTGGCACCTGGAGACATAAGAGAGGCTAGCTTGGTACCCGAGGACCACAATGATGCAAGTTTTCCCTTTAATTTCCTGCTTTTGAGCCTGGAACAACCATGGAGACCACAGACATGTCAGATTTGACCTAGATTTTCTGGGAATAGCATCTGCTTGGCCTTCCCCCAACCTGTTACTTCCCTCTGCCTTCCATGTTTCCATGGTGGCCTCAGAGACTGCTCGGGGAAGTTGAGTAGGGTGGAAGATAGGCAGTGAGGTATGGGGGGGAAGGGGCTGCAGGATTATCTAGATTCTGGATTGGCTTCTGCCTCTATGTGTGGATGTATAAAACATGTCATCTGTATGTGCCGTATGCCATGCATCTTTAATCTTTCAGAGGTTCCTCACCTGCTCAATAACTCACTGGCTTAAACCAGGAAAGACTGACAGGATTCTAATGCATGGAGTCTGGATCCATGTTTTACAGGTCCTCAAAAGGTTTATGGAAATACATCATGTAATGCTATCCACAGATTTCAAAGAATTTGTACAAAATGTATGTATCAAGGCAAACATTTAGCCTAGCTGTTCTTAGTCCATATTGGAGTGCCTGGATTGAATAATCAGCCCCATCTCCTGACTCTAGCTTCCTGCTAATAGGAGAGCGTGAGAGGCAGCCATGCAGGCCTCAGTCAATGGCTGCTGTCATGCATGTGAGAGACCTGCAGAGAGCATCCCCAGCTCCTGGCTTTTGCTGGGGTCAGTTCTGGATATTACAGACATTTCAGAGTTGAACCAGTAAAAAGAAACAGAGTCTACTCTCTCTTTCTCTCTCTCCCTTCCCCCACCCTCCCAAATATTTGTTCATTTATATTTACTTATTTATAAGCACTTACATTTTCCATTTTCCCATGAACTCTTTAAAGTATCATCATAAGGCCTTATGACTTGAACACAGCTTATGTCACACTTGTTCACCTTGTTAGCATTAAAATGCACCACATATACCTAAGATACAGCCTAATTTATACCCATAATCCAGGCATAATTTGTAGTAACATCTCCATTCATTCTCAAAGGTTCTACATAATAGATAAATAAGATGGATAGCCTATCTAAGACATGAGATCAAAGGCTGCAGAATTACAGAATTTCTATGCTGAAAAGAAGGTCAAAGTTTAAGCTCAAACACCCCCAAATCCCCAACCCATTACCTGGCATCATCTTGCAAACATCATGAAAGAATTTGAGCTCTTGGGCATGGTGCAATGGCTCAGTTCGCTAACCCTCCCTTTTCAAGTGCTGGGATTCTATACGGGTGCACTATGTGTCCTTGATAATGCACTTCCCATCCAGTTCCCTGCTTGTGGCCTAAGAAACCACAGGAGGATAGCCCATCCTTGGAACCATGAACCCTCATTGGAGACCCAGAAGAAGCTGCCAGCTCCTGGCATCAAATCAGCTCAGCTCCAACCATGTGGCCACTTGGAAAGTCAACCAGCAGATGGAAGATCTGTCTCCCCTCCTCTCTGTAAATCTGCTTTTCCAATAAAGATAAAAAAAGGTAAAGAAATTGAGCTCTATTAAGCAGCATATTGGAACTCATGCTTTATAAAGATTTCAAGTCACTTTGTATGTGTTTCTGTTCTGTCTCCATAGCTCACAGCACTGGAAGACATCATACAAGTTCGTAAAGGGAGGTGGAATCACTTGCCCTGTAAAATGCAGGGACACTTGGCAGAAAGGAGAGAGAACTAGTATTTCTGAGTATCCACCACACGCTATCTCTGTGATGTGTTCCCTCCAGTGTATCCTGTTGGAAGCAACACTGGGAAATGGGTAATTTCCTGTTCTACTTATGAGAAAACTATAAAGCAAGAAAGGTACAAACCAACGTCAACAGGGTGGGACTTGAACTCCAGTCCTCCAGACCCTTAAGCCCAAGAATGCTGCTCCTGCTGGTACCTGAAGCCTCTCTCCCTTACTTTCCCTACTCTTTCCTACTGATGCCTGAGAAGGAAAAAGCAAAAGACATCACCAATGGCTTGCACCAGACCACCTCTCCCACAGGCTGTCAAATGTCTAAAGCACAAACTTCCTTC